AGTCCTATATTGAAAGAAATAAAAAATCTTATAAAACTAACAAACGAAAATAATAGTAATAATATAAATAATATAAAGAAATTGCTGATATTTTTGAAAAAGATGAAGGAGAAGAAGGAGAACATGAAGAATATGAAGAATATAGAGAAGAACAAATAAAACATGAAGATAACATACCTCAAGCATCAAGAAAAAAATTAAATTTAAATAATTCACTAGTAATTATTGGAATGTTAGAAAAAATAATAGTTAATTTATATAATGTAATAGAATTATATTAGAATAATGAAAAAAGTGAGACTCTTATTTTAGCATTACTTGATTCTCAAATTAAATCTCTTAAATTTATTGATAAAGAAATTCACAACAAAACAAAAGAACTATTAAAAAATAAATATAATGAACTTAAAATTAATACTTCATCAACCAATAATACTACCATTATAACAATAACATCAGAACCATTTATATTTTTGATTTTTGAATGATGTTTATTACAACATGATAATGAGATAACTATGTATTTATCTTTGTCTGAAATAAGCCTCAATTCTGATCCTTTTATTTAATGGTATGATAATAAGAAACGACTTCCAATTTTTTAAAGTTAGCCTAAATTTACCTTCCTATTCCAGCAACATCTACTCCAAGTAAAGATTATTTAGCAGTGCAGGAAATTTATTAATTGCTAAAAGAATACGACTGAATTCAGAATTATTCAATAGACTTATGTTTTTAAAAAAAAATGCATATCTTGTTAAAAATATTCACCCTAATCCTATAAATTAATTTTTTCAATAGTTTTGCTTTCATTATGATAGTTACAATAATATTTTATATTTAGATCATATGTTATAAAGTCAAATAATAAATAAAATATTATTGTTCATAAAATATTTATAATTTTTTATTTATAAAAAATGCGAATTTGCGAATATTCACAAATTATATACTATTCATATAACTTGTAGATCATTCATGAATATTTGATAAATTATCTATGAATCATTTATTTGATTTTTTATAAATATATAATAGGTATCTGAATAATTTTTTTAGTCAATGAATATCTACCTATAATCATGAATTATCCAGATCATTTCACTACTTCCATATCAGCTATAATCACTATCACATAAAAATCCTTAACATACATATTACTTTTATTAATAATTAAACCTCTAATAATCACACGATTTTTATTGATGCATTAAAATTATCTATTTTTAGTAAGATGCATGTATGCAAACAATAAATTTTATTTTTAACCTAAAAGAAAAAAATTCATCGTCCTAATTCTTTTATTTTAGAAGATATTGAACATTATGTTTAAAGTAGAAATATTTCAGATTTCACAATTATTATTTTAAACTACTATTCAACATACTTTTATAAGAAAATAAATGGTATTTTGGCTTGTCAAATATTTTCTCTAATGCTTTTTAAATTTTAAAATAGGTTATTAGAGAAATAAAGAAATATACTTTTTTAGTTGTACTAATTTGCTATAAATGATTTTTTAAAGATGTGTGGATTCTTTTCTTAGATAGATGGACTTATTATAACATGTTAAATTTACATCAGATCGTCAATCACACATAACATGAAAAAATTCTCTTTTCTATCAATATCTCCTCTTAGAAGAACAAAATAGAAACAGCACCGCTCAATCATAAGTGATGAAATAAAATGTCAAATATGTGAGTAGTCTAAAGCAAATGAAAGCAAGCAACACTTGAATATTATAATCTACTTCAATGAGCTGCACCCTAATTTAAAGATTGATAAAAGCACGATTTCAAAGATTCTATTACAAAGTGATAGGTGAAAAGAAGTAAATACCAAAGATTCTCAAACATTCAGATACAAAGAGGTTAAGTTTTCACCTCTTGAGCATACAATGAGCTTATGAGTAGAAAATGCTGCAGCTGGTGATGTAATATTAACAGACTTGTTAATAAAAGAAAAGCGAAAATATTTGCTGAAGCTCCCAATATTTAAGAAGAAGATTTATCTTTTTCTAATGGATGGTTATATAAGTTTAAGAAGCGTAATAATATTCGTAGATACCGTATACATGGAGAGTCAGAAAATACACCTTTAGCATCTCTTTCAGAGAAACGTATAAGATTATAATCAATTTTAGGTGAATATACTCTTGACCGAATTTATAATATTGATGGAACGATAGGTTTTTTAGTTTTTTTATAAAAAAAAGAATGCTATTAAATAGGCATTAAAATATTAATTGAAATAGCTCAATATTCTAATTTACTATCACTTCTAATTTAGTGTAGGATTGTAAGATTTATGCTATTTGAAGTTTTCAAGTGGCTAATTCAGAATATTTAATAGATCATTTAGTCTGATTGAACATATTGTAATATAATTAAAAATAAGGATATTAATATCCTTTATTCTTTTAAATATAGGGCCTTTTTTATCGAATGCTCAAGCTAAATGCTCTCAACAAAGCCAGTTCCTAGCCAAAAGAAGGACAAAACACGAATCACAGTCCTTCTTGGCATTAATACAATAGGAACTGATAAGTTGAAACTATAGATGATTGGCAATTTGAAGCGTCTAAAACCTCTTTTCAGGGTTAATTTAGAGCATCTTTCTGTTTTTTATCAAGGTAATCCTAAAGCGTGAATGAACTTGTCATTATTTGAAGAGGTTTTTCGTGAAATTGATAACTGTTTCAGAGCGCAAGATAAAAAAATCTTGCTTTTGGTTGATAATGCTCTATTGCATTTCAATCCACATTACTCATCAGCTGTAGAGGTTGATCAAGATAATTGTAACAATGATAGTAATGAATTATCTACATTTAGTAAGTTTTTTTTCTTTTTTTTTTAATTACTAATTAATATGATTTCTATAGGAAATCAAACTTTAAGAGGTTGTAGTAGTAGGTCAAGAGGTTGTAGCTGTTATAGTAAATCAGGTCATAGTAGATCAGGTTATGGTAGATCAGAAGGACATTATTAATCTGACATTTCTCGGTTCCAGCTGACTCATATCAAAGTTGTTTTCTTATCTTTTAATATAACAAGCTATCTTTAACCGCTTGATGCTGGAATTATTGCAAGCTTTAAAAACCACTTTAAGAGAAAGTATTATCATTATATACTAGATCTATTTGAAGATGAGAAAGATATAAATAGTGAAAAGATTAATATAAAAGAAGCGATTAATTATGTTGCAGAAGTATGGGGTTATGTGATTGAAGAAATAGTATTGAACTGTTAGAAAAAAACTGGAATTTTGCCTTCTTTATCTGATAAAGACGTGGATGATACATTACAAATTGAGCAAGAAAATTGAATGAAAAAATAGCCAATATCTATCAAATGCTTGAAGAGCTTAATATAAATGATCCTTCTGTTTCTTCATTAGTCAATGCATTAACCAATTTTTTTCAAGAGTTGGAGGAAATCCCAACTGAAGATATTTTAAGTGAAGATGATATTATAAGACTAATCCAAGAGAAAACATGTGATCAGGATAATGACTCTGAAGAAAAAGAAATTTTAGTATCTTCCGGTGATATTCTTAAATCTTTAAAGACTTGGATTTCATTTTTTGAATAGCAGTACACTAATGAATTTCATGTAGAGGATTTAAATCTTTTTAAAAAGTATTTTAAGATAGTCAAATAGCTTGAGCAATAATCTCGAAAGCAAGCATCAATTACAGATTTTTTTAGTACCTAATTAGTTTTTAATAGCATTTATAGCATTTATGTAATGTTTGAATAATGTAATTACATTTTAACATCTAATATCATCTAATAAATAAATAATTTTAAACATATAATAAAATTTTCTATATAATTACCTCACATAATTTTTAATATTATGATGATTATATAGAAGTTACCTTTTTACAAGTCACACTTCTATAAAATCACCAATTTCAGTATAACTGATTAGGTAATTATACAGAGGTCTGACTATATCTTCAAGACTATTATATTTATTAATTAATTTTTCAATTTCATCACTCATTTTTTAATGTATCAATCTAATATATTCTATACTAAAATTTAATATAGACATTATTCATTCTACTGGATTTTTCTATGAACTTCTAGGTGGAGTTCTTATAGCAACTAAATAGTCCAAGTTCAAAGCAATAAACATTATTATTAATGACAATTGAATATGAAAAAAAGTATTTTTATGATCAAAATTACTATTAGTATATAACATTAAGAAAGAATAATACTTTTTAGTATGTAATAATATATCATACAATTTTGTTATATGCCGTAATGCACTTGATGCTTAAAATGCCACATCTTTTAGACTTATGTTTACTTGTTCTCTATAGAATGATCCATCTATATTATCAGGTATATTATAAAATATTATTATACTTAGAATTAAATTACACTTAATAAAATTATGATCTAAACTGATAAAATTTATTTATAATAACAACTATTTACTTTCACGTTCTATTACAGCTACTGGATATCTTGATTTTTTAATTTTATAATGGTGTTTATCATCTAAAAAGATCAACCATGTATTATCCCTAAATTTTATAACCAATTCCTTAAGATAACAAAAAATTGCTGATGTATAATGGCTATCAATATGATTTAAATGTAACTGTTGAATTTATATTATAAATTTTAATGATAAGATTCTGGTATATTGCAAATTTGATAGATTCTATAGATTTTTGGCTAAAACTATAATCTTAACTATTGTATTGATAGAATTTGTATACCTTTTAGACATATTTCTACTATCTGATTTTTTAAATCTTTTACAGATATAGCATAAGCTAAATGCATAATAGAATCATGATATCTTTTATCAATTGCAATAACTGAATCTTAAGCAGTACCTTCTAGAAATTTTTTAGCATATTCTTAAAAGGTGTCATAAATTGATATTCTTCCTTCATTAAATGTTAAAGGTCAGTAATAAGGTTAGGTTCTTTCAAATCAAAGCTAGTTTTACTTTAGCATCTATTTCTAATTCGTCTGCTATTGTATCTTCTATAAATTTCTTATATATTTGACGAATTCTAGACTTTTCAATATTTTCAAAAAATATATTACATGTATTTACAAATTCTTTTCTCATTACTCGTATTGCATATATAAGTATAGAATTTTTTAATTTATTTTGAATTTCATAATTTTTTTCAAAAGCTACAGATTCATTAACATTCAGATCTATTTTTCAAATAAAAGTAGTATTTATTACATTTCTATGATAGTAAGTAATACTTCTACTTTAAATGTAAATGTTACTTCTAAGTT